CAACCCTGGGTTTTTCCAGAGGACATCCTGAACATTTGCTGAGGTTTAATTTATGAAAAAAGAACAAGCAAGAGAACAAAGCAAATTTCCAAGGGGTGCTCTGTTAGAGAAGAGGATGCTAAATACCTGAAAGCTGTTTTGTCGTTAATTTTAAGAGCAGATAGGAACTCAGAGGAGAACCCAGAACTATGTGAAATGCTTCAGACTTGTCACTACATGCCAAGATCTTATATAGCTGAGAAAGTACTACTGTAATCTGGCAAATTTATTGCATCAGCCATTGCATCATAAACCAAATAGCTGGAAAGTGTTTAATCTTTTTAGCAACAGTAGGTTACAAGGCATTTAATAAATGAAGATTTTCTGTCTGAACAGATGTGGTTTTTATACAGGATTCCTCATGAACAGCTATGTTACAGAGTAAGTATCATATTTGTCAGTGATACACTTTCTTGTATTTCTAATTTGGCAATAATTTATATATATATTTAAGATTTGGGAAGGAAATGGTATATTTGCTCTTTTATTGTTTGATAGAGGTATCACACTGGACTCACGTAACATGCCCATTATTGGTTTAGCAGTTTAAACCTGTACTATTGACCATGGGCAGCATATATACTTGTATTCTTGTATACTTAAATCCTTATAATTGGAGAAAGAACTGTATGTATAGACAGACCAGTTCCATCAGAAATACACATGCTTGGCTACTATTAAAAATGAAAAATCAATATGCCTTGCTGAGTTTTGCAAAACCTTGATATTCTATTCCTTGTTCTGCAAAGCAAGTAAAGTAAGAATGTCAGACATAATCAAACTTAAATATTTTAAACTTCCACTGATTTCAGGGGAAGAGACAAAAGCATGTGTTTTTTTTCCCTTTGAGCAGCTCCAAACCTGAGAAGTGTTGCTTTTTCATGAAGTTTTTCAGTAATTTGGAAAGTGAGAAGCAAGTAGTAACACTGAAATATGTAACCTTTTCAAACATGCCTATGAAAAATAGTACAGGTAGTCCTCAACTTACAACAATTGGGACCAGAACTTCTATTGCTAAGAGATGTGGTTGTTAAGTGAGTTGTACCTGATTTTATGACATTTTTTGCTGTGGTCATTAAGCAAATCATGGTGATTGTTAAGTGAATCCAGCTTCCCTGTTGAATTTGCATGTTGGAAGCCCCCTGAGAAGGTTGCAAATGGTGATCACGTGACCCTGGGATGCTGCAACTCTCATAAATACATGCCGGTTGCCAAGTGCTCGAATTTTGATCACATGACCGTGGGGACGCTGCAACAGTTGTAAGTGCAAGGACCTGTCGTAAGTCACTTTTTTCAGCATCATCATAACTTTGAATGGTTGTTAAACGGATGGTCATAAGTTGAGGACCACCTGTAAATGAAGTTGTATGGCTTTTTTCTTTTTTATATACTCTACTGAGGTTGTTCATTTCACCACAGTTTCCTACTTCTGTCTCATTCTCATCTTTAGTTTAGATTTTGCCTTAAATTAAGGTTTTTCAGAATGGTCACTTTTTAAGGATACTATGAAAGTGGAGAGGTTTCAAAGAAGAAAATAAACTGCTTGTGAACTGAAGGATTCTGAAATAGTTCAGAGTGACTATACAATTCTGACCTGCTCTCAGTTTTATTGTGACTTGTATCTTTAAAGATATATTCCTTTTAAATCCTTTTTTGTATAGCTTCAAATAGCACACAAATGAACATCAGACATATAAATATCTTAAAAAATCAATATAAACATTGGGGAAGAAAAGCATGTACTCTATGGACCAGCTTGATACTAGAACTGTGAAAATAATGAGAATAGACCACTGTTCAAAAATAGCCTCACTGACAGGTGACAGGTACTAAGGAGGAGTTGCAGTTCCTGCTTCATTTTGCACATCTTCCCTGTGTCTGTTACCTGTCTGTTAATCTAGCAGGCATGGAAGAGGGCAGAGTGTGAAGCAGAAGGGGATGGTGGATAATCAGTGAGCTCCATCCTCAACTAGTGCTGTAAGGGAGTGGCAGTGCTGGCTGGCAGTGGGTGGCTGTAGCTGGCAGCACTTAGCCCATGGTGTAGGCAAAATGGCATCCCTGCCCCCTTCCAATAATAAAACAGTAAAAACTACAGCTACAGAAAATCCCTTGTCAGCAGAAGTAGCAGAAAGTTTATAATGCCTTTACCGGTGACAGAATCAACAACACACAGCTGGCAGAGCTTTCCTGGTTTAATTAACCTGTCCCATGTTTAAACACAGGTCTTTCAAAAGAGCGCTATCCATGTTACAAACCAACAAGCAGTTCTAGTGCTAACCTATCCCCCGCTCTCTCTCCACCACCAAAGACCTGTAAACCACTCTGGAAAATGCCAATGAGGCATCATAGAGGCAGATGTTTCTGTGGAAGCCAGGTGTCTGGCCATGCCAAGAGCCAAGAGCCAAACTCAAAATTGTCATGGAGGATAGTTCTCAGCAACTGGAGGGAAGGAAGGGTACCCCAGCAGCCTCAAGTGTCCAGGAGATTCCTGCTCCCACCCATGGCATCATCCACGTGGTACCTGGTATCCCACAACATACCCACAATAACAGTTGTATCAAGAGAAGAGGGAAAACACTCCTTTAAAATCTGAACAGCTAAATATGACTTTAATCTGCTTGAGCTATGGGTTGGGTATGAGACAAAGGCTACACATAAGGATATGACATCACTGGGCATCTTCATGCTGTGGTTAGGGGGACGTGAAGATGAGCTCTCATGAGAAGTTTGTTTGGTTATTTATTTATTTATTTATTCATTCATTCATTCATTCATTCATTCATTCAATTTCTATGGCCACCCATCTCAGACAATAACTCTGGGCAGCCATAGATTACAGTTATAATCAATAAAATGAGATGATAAACATGTTTAATAAGTAACAAGCTATACATTATGTGGCAGTTACAAAAAGACACTGAGGAGAGTTATAGTATGGCAGAAAATAGCCTGACTGCAATCTACTAACTACCAACTCTATTGA